ATAATAATAATAACAATAATAATAATAAAAAGGAAAAAACCCCGAGAAATAGAGTCCCTTTACAATTGGGTGTATGAACCCCTGTAATTTTACATCTGCTTTCTGGGGAGATTGTCCAGAAATTCCAAAAGATGAAGAGCATCTGCTTTAGAGTCAGAAAATTACATGCAAAAATATTTTGGGTTTTATTTGCAAAGTAATAAATAAATAATAGACTCTATCTTCACTGAAGAAAATGAAAAGTTGTTTCATTTAACTGAGTCCTGTTCCTGCTTTTATAAGCCTTGACTTTTTAATTCTTAAATCTAGTCATAAGTTAAAAAAAAAACACACAACAGAACACTTCCCAATAATCAGTTTTATTTATGAGAAGTGATGTATTAAAAATTAGTAGGGCATCGTGTTTACGCAACATGATGAAAGTCATTGCCATTGCTGATTGTACGTATTAAAATGTTGCAATGGTAATTTTGTTGTTGTTTATGAACTGCAATAAAAAAGAAATTGATAAGAGACGGATCCAAAGTGTACTAAGAACAGATTGCATTGTATTTTAAAATACTTAGAATAAAAAAAAGTCTTACAGGTCAAACACTGCCATTATAGTTCCGAATGGTGACTCTGTCTACAGCTTCCTGTTTTCGGTTCATTCCCCCTCTGCCCTTCACTGGAATGCGTGCATATCATACCTGTACCCACTATAGCTTTCAACTTCTCCCTTTTCATGTCCTGGTTTCTTTTTTCCAATTTATTAGTTCTCTCTCTAAACTTCTGAACTATTTTTTTTTTCCTTGTTACGTACCATCGAGTCAGATCCGACTGGCACAGGAGCAGATTGCCCCTCCTCCTCCAGAGCATCTGGTGGATTCAAACCCAAACTAATTTTCTTTCTAAAAGTGAATTTCTGTGTGTAAAAATAGTTTTAGTCTTATAATGAAAGAAACTGTTTCCTTCCCACACTTTTTTTTTTTTTTTTTTTGCGTGTGTGTACCGTCAAATCAGATCTGACTGGTACAGGAGGAGATTATTCCTCCTTCTCCAGCAGAGCGTCTGGTGGATTTGAACCATGAACCTCTGGGATTGCAGTACACCTTCTTGCCACTAAGCCACCAGAGCTCGCTACTTTTGTTCTTTTTCTTCAAAGGCAACTACTCTGACTCGTCTTACTAAAACCAAAAAGTAAACCCACCCCAGTATTCTAAGTATTGTGCGTTAACTGCTGTTTCTTGATTTGACAAGTTTTGATAATTCTTTTTTGACTTTTTATTGACTCCTTAACCTTCCTTCCCTTTTCTGTATTTTCTGATAATACAGTTTTTGGTTGACCAGTTATATTATTTACATGTTGTTGTGTATTGTCGAGTTGGAGCTAAGCAATTACTGACCCTCCTGTGTATTTTCAGTTAGTCACGCCAGCGGAGATTGCCCATCCTCTCTTGGAGCAGCTGGTGGCCTTGAACTGTGTGCCTTCATGTTGACATAGTTATAGTAAATTTAGTATTGTGGTGAGTACTGAGAGCTCAGGTGGCATAATCTGTAGGGAGTAGCGTGGCTAACCCAAAGGCAGAGTGCCTCTTGGATGTTTTGAGCCTAGCAGCAGTTCAGCAGGAAAATTCCATTTCCTCTTATGAAGCCTACAGCCTTGGAAATTTATGAATTGTTTCTGACTTGAAGGCAAGATAATGAGTTTGTGGTGGTGGGTCTTGGGGTTTTTTGTTGGGTTTTTTTTTTTGTTTTGTTTTTGTTAAGGTTTAAGTAGCAGTCTTATTGAATTTAGAGAGTTTTGGTGGCCTAGTGGATTGGGAGTTGTGCTGCCAATCTAAAGAATGTTGTTGTTGTTGTTTGCCGTGGAGTTGAAACTGACCCATAGCTCACCCTCCGGTGGGTTTTCAGAGACAGTTTAATCACATAGGAGGAGAGTGACCATCCTTCTCTTATGGAGCAGCTGGTGGCCTCGAACCGCCTGCCTTTGGGATTGCAGTGCAGCTTCTTGTCACTAGGCCACCAAAGAATAGGCATTTCAAATCTGCCAGCGGCTTCATGGGATAAAAATGGTCAGTTTCTTCCCATACAATTTTTGGCCTCTGAAAACTCAGTGGAGGGTCAGCTGTGAGTTGATTCTGCTCAGTAGGACATAAGAACAACATTCAATTCATGCAGTTGACTATTAGTTTTCTTGTAGAACTGGAGGGGGTTTTCCCCCCTTTGGGTTAAATTTTACAAGGCTTAATTTTCTGTGTGATTGTTATATTGGCTCTCAGGCCCGAGTGTCCTGTTACTGTAATTACCCATAATGTCCCACCCACCAGGTAATGTTGTCCCTTCTTTTTTCGTCCCTGTGAAGCCCTCTGTCTTCCTTCTCTCACCTGGACTTGTTCCTCTGCAGTCTTGCTGCACAGCTTTGATCGTGGAACCTCCTGTTGTCATTGGCATAGACTTTTCATTTGCTTCCCCCCTGTATTAGCTCCTCTATTTTCTGGATCTATTTTCATCTTCTTACTCCTTCCTTTTGATGTAATATCATCATCCTCCAGTGGCTTAAGAGAGAGAAAAGGCATAGAAGATAAATTTCCATTTTTAAAAATGTAATTCAGAACTTTCATTTCTGAGGATATCTTTATTACTCTTCCCTTGCATTTGATTCATAGTAAAGTCAGTGCAGAATTTTAAGTTAATGTGCTGGCCACTCCCTAAAACTGAGCCCACATTTGGTATTTCTGCCAAGAGCATTCATAGGTCTCAGCATAGTTACAATTGTTTCTATGATTTATGTTAGCAAAAATAAGTCTTAAGATGCAAGTCAGCAAAGGAAGTCTGGGCTGGAGTCTGGAGGCTTGCAGGTGCCAAGTTTTTTTGACAGTCTTCTATCATGGGCGCACACAGGATGTATTTCATTCCTTCAGCAATGGATGGTGTGATGAGTGTGAAATGCTGTCCACCAGGGAAGCTCCTTAGAGATCCAATGCCTAAACCTTTTATTGGAGGTGATAATATAGTCACTCTTTGCCTCTCATGCCAAGATTCCAGATTCCCAGAAGGCAGGCAATTGTTTAGCATAAACTACGATGTTTATAGAAAAACAGTTGAGGCGGCGTTGAGCTGCCCTGATTATTTAGGGAGTTTCATTATGTAAGCCAGTTACCGTGAGGGGCCTCGTGCTCTTTTATCCCCCCATCCCACTTGCACCCAAAGCCCTGCAGCCTCTGGCCTGGAGCTCCCACTTTGATTAATTTGCTTCTCTCTTAGAATATATATTCTCTTGCTTATTTCTAAAACTTAAATAACACCTTGTTAGTAGACTAAAATGAAGGGAAATTCACTGTTCCTCACTGCTTATGTTATCTGGAGGGCTCTCATGTGCAGCATTCAGGAAGGTGCCTTTTACTTACCTGGTCATTAACGGTTCAAACCCATGAGAGAAGGGCTGGCCATCTGCTCCCTTAAAGATTTCCACGAAGGAGCCTCTATGGAGCAGTTCTCCTGCTTCACTTGTAGGACTGCCACGAGTAAAAAAAATCAACTTGATTGCTGTGAGCGTTCTCGTTTTTAAGAAGAGTAATAAAACAAGCCAAAATAGTTGTTACTTATTAAATTCCAACTCATAACCACCAGTTAGCACAGAGCAGAGTGGCCACATAGGATTTCTCAGGCAGGAAGTCTTTATAGGAACCAACTGCCTTCATCTTTGTTCTGCGTAGTGGCTGGTGGATTCAAACCAGTGACATTTTGATTCACATCCCAAAGCTTAGCCTACAGTGCTACCACAGCTTGTTTGTTTATTTACTTAACAAATGCTTACTCATTGCACCACTGGGCCTCTTTCTAAGAGGATTATTGGATATATGATTTATATCAACTAGCCCTGTGCCTTGACACAGTAGTTACTGCTGGCATATATGTGTATATATATGTGTGTGTGTATATGTGTGTGTGTGTGTCTGTGTGTGTGCACTAGTATGTGTGTTGTATCCAAAACTAAGAATGACTTCTTCCCTCTGTGAACTCTGACAGCTTTTATTGATACCATGTAGGATTTTTCACACACCCAACTCTGAATCAGAGTTAGTATCTCTTATTTCCTTGCCTGGATTATCGCTTCTTCAGTACCTCACTGGGTGTTTGTAGTACAGCCCCCTTCACAGAGGACAGAGGTGGATTTGCCGAGGAGATTGAGCTAAATGCACGTAGGGCGTTGTGGACACAGTAAGTGGTGAGGGCAGCACTGACAGCCTCCTGCTGTAGTCATTTCAGAGACAGAAGGAGGCACATGGAGAAAAGCTGCTCTAAAGCCGTGAAATGGTTTTGTTTCTTTAGGCGGGGAAAAGCACACTGGTGGTGGCAGGGAGTCCGGAAGTGACGCCTGGAAACAGTACATGAGGAGATCAACTTGGTAAGTGGAAGACGTTGGGAAGACGGGTTTGGGGACAAAGTCTTTGGAAACAGACCAACTGTCTTCCACTTTCTGCTCTATCTTCATGTGGGTTCCATAGTCTCTTCTGAGTATTCCACACCTGTCTCCATCCAGAGCACCTGTTTTGTACTATTATGCTGTTATATTTTGAACTCTTCTGCTGTACTTGGCTGACTTCACCAAGCTCTCGTGTCTGCCTGTGCAGCCATGCAGCTGGTGGTTGATACCCAGGCCTTGTACAGTCAACTAGCAGGTCAAGTAGAAGACCTGCCCCTTTTAATTTTCTCCTTAACTGTGCTCCCACCTTGTAGATGTTAGAAACTTAGGAAGATGAAGACAGAAGACAGAACATGCGGACTGTGGGGCTCCAGCTCTTGGAACAATAAGCATAACCTTTGAGAGCAGATTGACTCATTTATCCACATACCACCATAGTCACTAGGGTTAGGGAATCTGCTCAATGAGGGTCTTTCAGACAGGTTTGATGAGGATTTTTTTTTTTTACTGTTACCTATTCTCCTCTTCCATGGATAAAAATAGCTTTTACCTAGTTCCAGTAAAACAGAGGATGAGGTTCATGCAGTGCTGTGTTGTAGAGGGAGTGCTGGGTGAGGAATGAGTAGGTGCAAGATTGCCCGCTCCTTTTACAGCTCTCCCCAGCTCTGTGATCCTGGGTGCGCTTCTCAACCTAATGGCCTTTATTTCTGCCAGGAATTTCTGAGGCGCGTTTGCCTGTGGCTTCCTCATGCTCATTGTCCACTTCCCGTTCTTTCCTTTAACACTTGAGATCTACAGTGGTGGACGTACTTAGCTATGGCCTCTCTGGCATTTATTTAATGAAAACACTTTGTTTTCAGGAGAAAACTCAAGATGACTCTTGGGAAGCTTTTATTCTCAAACATTGTTTCTTATTTTATTTCTATCAAAATAAAATGCTTCCTTTTTCTTAGTAATTCAGTACATATAACTCATAAATAAGTTAAAAGTTATAGCTTGCATATTTTTATGCCTTACTGTAAGTAAACAATAAATAATCTATAGTATGTGTATTTCTATCCCCTTTCTTTTTTTGGTCCCCCAATAAAATTATACCTACTAACATATTTTTTTTTAAATTCTTTTTTTCCTACTAACATTTTTTATCCCAATTTTTTTTCTCTTCATCAATTTGCAGCTTGAACATTCTATCCTATAAATATATGCAGATCTGCTATGTTTTTGAAGGAATGGAAATATTTGTAGACCCCAGATGAGATGGAGTAACTGGGGCAATGGGGGTAGGTGTGTCAGAGTCAGTGAGACTGGCTCAGGACAAGGCAGGCCTCAGAGCTGTTGTAAATAGGGTCACTGTGACTCAGAGGCAGCTTGACAGCACATAACAACAACAACAACATTTATTTGCGTTCCTTCTTTTCTTCCTTTAGCACCATCAACTACAGTAAGGATCTTCCTCTGGCTCAAGGCATCAAGTTCCAGTAAAAGTGTTTTAGAGTTTGAATTGCTTCAAGACTTTCAGATGTTCCTGCAGCTCAGCTCTTTCTTCTGAAAAAAGATGAAATTGAGATGTTCTCTGAATAAATGCATCATTTTGAGTATGTCAGTGTGTAATCCTCTATGCCCCCGAGGCCCTGACAGAAACAAGAGACTCATTTTTGGAAAAAGAAATGAAGTTGTCACAGTGTAGCATATTTAGTTAAAAAACTGGACTTTTATATCACTGGTTATTGGTGTTTATGCCTGGTAAAGAAGAGGGTCAGTAAAAGAAGAGGAAAACCCACAGAAAAATGGTTTCATAAAATAGCACTGACAGTGGCCTCAAGTATAGCAATGATTACGGAGGGCAGTGCAGCATCAGGCCGTGTTCCAGGTTTGTACATAGGGTCACTTGGAGTTGGAACTGACTTGATGGCGCCTAACATCAACATTGTTGTTCATGATATTTTAAGGCATTTGATTATTTTATAATCAGAGTAAAGAGTACATACTAGGGGAAGAATTTGGAAAAAATAGAGAAGAAATTAGAGGTCTTCTCAGTAGAAGCAGGTAAAATATTCTGTGCCAATTAATGATTCACATTACTCTTCTCTGGCCTGTATTCTTCACTGGAAAGACTGATTGAAAGAGCTAGCTATGGCCCATGTGGGCAGTATTCCAGTGGAATAGCTGGGGGAGGTTCAGAGTAACTGAGACAGAAGAGTTTCTCTTGCTGCCTGTGGAAGAGTTTGACAGAGCAGGTGATGACTACTCCTGCTCTAGAACTTGCTACATACTTTGGACTCTGAGCCAGAAACTCATGTGCAGAATTTAATGTGCATCTAGAATTCTCATGCTTTACACCATTTTCTTCCACTTTTTAGTTGATGTTCTTGCGCCATTCAACTGGGGAAAAGTTTCAGTCCTTCTCATTGAGAGGCTGCACAGGAGCCTTTGCATGGGGCAGAGCCTTTTTTCATTTCACACTAGCTCTTGGGAGTTCTCTTCTCCCTGGCACTCTGCTTTCTCCTGCTAGGGAGCAGCTGCCACCGTTTCTGCTTCTGTCAGATTGAACCAGGGCCGATGACTTTGAAGCAGATGACATTTGTAGACTCTTTGGTGCATCAGGATGCATGAAGAGGCTTGGATGGCTGCAAAGTGCTTACAGTTGCAACATAGAAAAGCTAGAGAATGAAGAGCAAAAAGATACAATCACAAACGTATTAAGAAAGGAAAAGTATTCATAATGTGTTTCATGACTCAACTGTGAAAAGCAGTTTACCAAGGTATGCTGATGCCAGCATGCCTCTGTATGTTAATCATACCGATTGCTGAGGAGATATTGACAGGATGAAGGCATAAGTTAAGGGTAAGTGAAAGGCAGACTCCTTTTCTCTAATGGAAAATCAATAACACCTAGAATTGCAATAGCAACAAAGGCTATTGATTAATAAGATAAGGAGATACGTCCTGAAACACTTATGACCTCTAGAAGAGAAAAAGGAGAGACAGGGAAATGAGGATTGTTGTTGTTTTATAACAAGGATTAAAGAACTGATTGACTCTTTAAACCAAGAGAATATAAAAAAATGAAAACAGAAAAGAAAGTGATGGAGAATCAGTTATTTGAAGTTTTGAGTTTCTAGCCCATCCCTGGGCCACATGCACATACTTGATGCCCTAGGGAGGACCTAGAAATATAAAAGAATTCTAATAAAAGTCAAATACTCCACCATATTTTAAAATGAAATTATTCTGTATGAAACTATAGATTAACTGCCTTAAATAGCTAGTTTAAGAAAACCATGCAATTTGGGCGTTATCAAAATACAACGTAATCCTGTGGTTTTCCTATAATCTCTAGGTCACAGTGTAAGTAGTTTTGTTTTATCTGGTGATGCTATATCTAAAGGTAAGGCACTACTTAAAATGTTTATTAGGATTCATGGAAATTGGACATTTCCATTTTTTTGATGAAATTGTACAAAATTAGTTTTGATAGAAATATTTTCTTTTTTTTTAATGGATTTAAAAAAATTTTTTAAAATTTATTTTATTATTTTTTGTGCATGTACCGTCAAGTCAGATCTGACTGGTACAGGAGGAACTTGTCCCTCCTCCGGCAGAGCATCTGGTGGATTCGAACCGTGTACCTTTGGGATTGCAGTACAGCTTCTTGCCACAGAAATATTTTCTTAAATCCTGTCTCTTACATATTTTTAAACAGACTATCCGAACCCCACCATGTATCAGTGTTTGTATTAATTTTTAAATGTTTACATTTATAATTTCTCCCCAGTTAAGTGTTGAAAGAGACACTTGGTCTTCCTGTGTATCTCCTACAGTCGTGACATTGTGGGTAATCTGGGTAAAATCTAGAGTAGGCTGGAAAGAAGGGGTAATGGAAAACTTGAGTCTTAGATAAAGAAGGCAGGTAAAACCGATATTAAAAGCTCTTTTTTGAAATGAAATAACAGTAAGGGCTCACATTTTGGGATCACAGCTTTTCTATAAATTTGTTCCTCTTTGTTCTTTTTTACTGACATCAATCAATAAAAATGGATCATTCTTATTTTTAACCCCAGATATTAGAATGTGCATATTACTTTTACAACTTAAAGAGAAAATGTGTATTTGTATATGCCTGTATTTTAAGCTCATTGCTGGTTATCTTGAATGCCCAAGTACTGCTCTGTCCCTTTTATTTTTTTCTCTCCTCTTTCTTAAATTCTACATTCTAGTCACTTCTGCCACCAATTCCCAGTCCCCATTGTGCACAAGAGAAACCATAGCTACTGTCACTGCTAGTCTTGTAGAGAGAATTTAGGAGACAGGCTTTTCTCTTTCTGTAGCAGGAAGTTAGAGGTACGTTCTGCTCCTGTTGTGGGAGTCAGGCACTCTAATGAAGACTTCAGAGAGTGGAGATAGTTTTATCAAAAGACATCAGTGTTCTGTCATGAAAAGGAATGGTAACCTGGCCAGTCAGGACAGATTTCTACAATTTCTGGTGTACCTTTTAAGCTCAGCATAAATACCACCTCTTAAGAAATTTGTTGTTTTTAAAAAAGTATTTAAGAAATAAAAATACGCAAGCACTGGTGGCCTAGTGGCAAGAAGCTGCACAGCAATCCCAGAGGTGTGCGGTTCAAATCCACCAGATGCTGTGCTAGAGAAGGAGGGAGAACCTTCTCCTGTATCTGTCATACCTGATTTGACGGCACACACACACACACACACACACACACACAAACCCCCCCCCAAAAAATCTTGTATACAGTTAAAAATTCAAATAGAGCTAAAATGCGTAAAATAAGACTAAAAAACCCATGTTCCTTCCTGTTCTGCACCAAGCCAAATCCACTCTCACCTCTTACTGTTGTTAGGGGCCATTGAGTAAAACTCATAGCAACCCTACTAACAACAGACCTGAACCCTGTTTTATCCTGTGCCATCTTTCCACTTCCTGACATCCTAGTGCCTATTGTGGCAGTCACCAAGTCAATCCACCTGATCAAGGATCTTCCTCTCTGTCGCCAGCCCTCCATTCTTCCAAGCATTATGCCCCTCTCCAAGAAATTGCCCCTTCTAGCAACATGTCTGAAGTATGTAATGTGAAGCATCATCATTCTTGCTTCCAAAGAGCACTCTGGCTGCACCCTCTCCAAGATGTATCTGTTTGTTTCCTTGGCTGTCCATGGGATGTTCAATGCTCTCCAACACCACAGCTCAAAGGCATCAATTCTTCTGTCATCATTATTCATTGTCCAACTCTCAGATGCATAACAAGTGAACGGAAAGACCATGGGCTGAATCAGATGGACATTTGTCCTCAAGCTGATCATTACTCCTGAATAATTGGAAGAGTTTCCTAACTTCAAATTTTCCCTGTGCAATGTGTCTCCTTAATTCTTGACTTCTGGTGCCAAGGGTGTTAATTGTCTTCAACAAATTTCAAGTCCTCACTTTTACCAAGCAAGGTTATGCCATCTGCATAACACAGGTTATCGATGAGTCTCCGATCCTGATGCCACAATCCTCTTCACAGACTCCAGCTTCTCACATAATTTGCTCAGCATACAGATTGAATAGATATATAGAGAGAATACAACCCTGACACACTGTTCTTAATTTTAAGCCATAGAGAGAGCTCTCTTGGCCTCCTGGATAGAAAATTATGCTACCAAGCCAAAGGTGGGTGATTTTAATCTGCAGCCTTCAGGCTTGGTTTTAATTGTTTTTGGTCAAACATTCTTCTAAGTGGTATAACACTGGTCTGTCCACTTGCTATACAGAGGTAACTTGTGGTTGCTGTGATGTTAAACACTGTGACACTGATCTGTCAAACGTGAGAATGGTTACACATTGGCGACAGTGTTTGGTGGAGCTCCTCGACTAAAATAAGCCTGGAGGCAGGAGTGGCATCCACTTCCGAAATAGCTTGTCTCTGGAAACTCCATGAACATGGAGAAATGATGAAAGTTATACAAATATTCAGGTCTTTTGTTCATAGGATTGCTAGAAGGTTCTACAGCTTGATGACACTTAACAAGTGTTCCCCATGCTCTGTTTGTACAAAAATTCTGCCCCCAGGCTGGTCACACTGTAAATATACTTGGACACTCTATGGAGAGTCCCCTTGAGTCAGAATGGGCTGATGATGGCAGTGACTTTTTTTGGCTACTTTAGACAAAGCTTTATTACCAAACTGTCTTAATGGTATTGCCCTGTAGGTGTCACTGTTGGTCTGAACAAACGCCTCAGTTCGTCATGGCCGGATGTTTTGTTGACTTTCTATCTAGGAGCCACCATGGAAAAGTTTTTGTGTACATCGGAACAGTTGTGCCAAGCTCACCACCTCACTTTCTGGGACATGCAGCTTTCCATTCCAACACCGCTGGGCTTCGCAGACCATCTAAGCTTTAGTTGCTCACTTGGTCAAAAGGTTAGGCGCCAAAATACCAAAGAGAAAAATATTTGAATGCCATTAGGGATCAGTAATTCCTCGT